GACTTCAGCACATATTCCCATAATCCACATTTGACTTCAGCACATATTTCCATAATCCACATTGACTTCATCACATATTCCCATAATCCACACTGATTTCGTCACATATTCCATAATCCACACTGACTTCATCACATGTTCCATAATCCACATTGACTTCAGCACATATTCCCATAATCCACATTGACTTCAGCACATATTTCCATAATCCACATTGACTTCATCACATATTCCATAATCCACACTGACTTCATCACATGTTCCATAATCCACATTGACTTCAGCACATATTCCCATAATCCACACTGATTTCATCACATATTGCGTAATCCACATTGACTTCAGCACATATTCCCATAATCCACATTGACTTCAGCACATATTCCCATAATCCACACTGATTTCATCACATATTCCATAATCCACACTGATTTCATCACATATTCCCATAATCCACACTGATTTCATTACATATTCCCATAATCCACATGATTTCATCACATGTTCCATAATCCACACTGATTTCATCACATATTCCCATAATCCACACTGATTTTATTACATATTCCCATAATCCACATTGACTTCAGCACATATTCCCATAATCCACATTGACTTCAGCACATATTCCCATAATCCACATTGACTTCAGCACATATTCCAATAATCCACACTGACTTCATCACATATTCCCAGAATTCGCACTGATTTCATCACATATTCCATAATCTGCACTGAATTCATCACATATTCCATAATCCACACTGATTTCATCACATATTCCCATAATCTACACTGATTTCACCTTTTGTTTTATTAATCCACACTGATTCCACAACATATTCTCTTAATCCATGATGGGTATGGTTGCCTAGTGCCTTGCTTGCTCTGAAATGGAACATGCTGTTCTTATATGTTTTCATTATATAATTTACAGATTATCAGAGTATTGTATCTGCTTTACCCATCTGACTTACAAAGCACCTTTGATAAAGAAGTCTCACTAATGTGGTTTAAACAGCATCCAATAGTTTCACATAAAGAACTACAAAGAGGTATGGGTTAGGGTTAGGGTCTATTGTGTATTATTTCATTATATACATATAAGTGTATTAGGTTTTTTCTTTGGAAATATCATATATTATTTACTTTTTCCCCACATTCCCTGTAATTGACCAAATATATAAAGCATGCATTCAACAGTTGTAGCGATGGTTTAAGAGGGTAATACATTTTGAGTAAATCTGAGATACAGTGTGTTTTATGTTTTTTGTGATTATTCACGCTTAAGAAAACATTGATATTTGGGGTTAGTCTAAAAATTTGATCTCTACTCCCAGCTGTCCCACGACGGTGATTTTTAGCATAGGTATTCTCTGATAGCTGCTAATGAAATCTGGCAAAGATAGTTTGTCTAACTAACACTTTAATTTTAGAAAATACGACACAACTCTCACCTTTGTGAACTCTGACACAGGTTATTATATTTCAAAACAACATTGACGATGTTTTTAGAAAGTGTTATGTTTTATTCAATGTTTGAACCAACTGTTTAAAAATGTCATGAACTGTTTCTCAGACATGGCTGGGCTGATTTCATTCAAACTTGGTATTGGAATAACTCATGGTGAGTTACTGATGCATGCCATGCCATTTTGTTTTATGTTTTTATCCAAAATGACTGACTGAAGGCCTTTTGTTTTTTGCCCTCTTTTGAGATTTTTTTATAGAACAAATGCACTAATCACGTTTTTTGTTTCATTGACATTTGATCACTGGTGTCCATTTTAGTGCCAAAACATTTCAACATGTGTTCAACTATTTCCCAGGTGTGTCTGGTTTGGCTTCATTCAAATTTAGTCTTGTCTTCTCATGGCAGATTATTGAAGTATGTCATTAATAATTCTTTCTTCATCTCACTCATTTTTGAGATGCACTTACACTGATTTTGTGTAAATATAGCTTGACATAATAGTGTAAATATTATCTTCAGTTGACTGGCAGCTATTTTGGTTCAAAAACAAAACTCAACACACCAAATTTAAACATGACATCAATAATTTTTTTGGCCAATTTTATTCAAATACAGCCAAACACAAACTGGGACTTGTTTTACTTTTATGCAGTTTGTTAATTATTTCTTTAATAATTTCTTTATTTCATTCAAACATTGTACAACTAGTTATTAAAAGTTGTTCAGTTTCATTTCTATGAATGGTAATCATACAAGCACAATTATATGTTTTGGTATCTAAGCATCGTGATATTTGAATGCAATTTTTTATATTTCAGTGTCTGCAATGCTTGATGAATGTCCAATGATGAAAGTCTTTATTAAGAAGAATTTTCCAGAATTTATCTTTTCTCTTTCAAAAATAATGAAGTATTACATCTGTGATGATGAAAACGCAGGCTTTAGCATATC